TTGCTCCTCAACTGAACCTGTCTAGCTGCTCTTATTATTGGGTTATAAAGAGTCTTTATATTCTTTAGTTGCTAGATCCTTATCAGATAAGACTTACAAATAATGTTTCATATTTTATAGATTGTCTTTTATTTTCTTAATCTTACCCTTTTGAGTCACAAAAGGTATTAATGTTGATGAAGCTCAACTTTAGCATTTTTTTATTTGCTATTTAATTATTTATTTATTTTACTTTTTAAAAATAGGGTCCCTCTACATAGCCCAGGCTATCCTGGAACTCACTATATAAAACAAGCTGGCCTCTAACTTGCCTGTATGTTGCCTCCCATGGGACCAAAGGTGTAGGCCACCATGCTAACATTGTTGCTTATGCTTTTTAATGCTGTCTTTAGAAATCTTTGCCTGCAGCAATTTCCCCAAAACTTTCTTCTAAAAGTTTCATGGTTTTGTCTGTTAAATTCAAATCTTTGCTCCGTTTAAATTCATTTTGTTGGGGTTCTTTGGCATATGGACATTCAGTTGTCCCTATACTATTCGTTGAACATTCTTTTCCCTATTAAATAATCTCTGCTCCCTTGTCGAGAATAAAAAAATTAGTTAACCTTAGATGTTTGAATTTATTTCTGAACTTTACATCTCTGTGCCAGCACTAGGAAAACATGAGTCTTTCTCTGCCTGTCAGTGGATAAGCTGATAGTTCACAGTGAAAGTATGACAGCAGGCAAAAGACGTGTGTTGTGACGTTCTCAGGAACATGGTGAATCTCAGGTAGCAGAAGCCATACTAAAAAGATCCCTTAGTGTGTGCCTCATGAACAAGGCATTCTGGAAATGGCAAAGTATCAGTAATAGCAGAAACACCAGTGTCTATCATCAACATCAGCCGAGTTTAAGGTCTAGGCATGGAAAGCTTAGAAGGGCTAGCTGAGGATGGAGCACTCTTCAGTCTTTATTTTATGAGTATAGATGTTTTGCCTGAATGTATGTCTGTGTGCCATATGCTTGCAGGGTTACAGATGGTTGTGAACTGCCATGTGGGTGCTGGGTTATGGAGCCATGGTGTTGAAATAGGAGCGGCAGGGCTGTGTCCCTGGCACCCGGCCGCTCCCCACGGCTAGGAGCTGCGGTGAGCTGCATTCCCACCCAGCTCTGCACGGCTAGCTTTACCCGAAATAATTACACTGAAACTGTATTCATTTAAACACTGCTTGGCCCTTTAGCTCTAGCCCTTACTGGCTAATTCTGATATCCCAATCAACCCATCTCTAATAATCTGTGGGCACCGGTCTTACCGGGAAGATTCTAGCCTATGTCCATCCTGGGTCGGAGCTTCATGGCGTGTGTCTGCCATGTTTGTGTGTTGTTATTTCGGGGCATAAGCTAGCCAGGCTGCCGGGGTGCTGGGGATGCAGCCCCGCCGCCCATATTACTACAGATTGGCGCCCAGACATGTGGACAACTGAATCCACTGAAAGCCTGAGAAAGCTTGGGAAAGAGAAGAGCATGTTTTCTTGGTAGCTGCAATTTAATAGAGGCTTCCTGACTCAGCTTTAGCTGCAAAACCCTGCAGCTCATTAAGAGGTCCTGTCACGAAACACTTAAATGGTGTTGACGAAAAGCTGAACGCATGCTTTTCGGTTTTCAGCCATAGCAGGAAAAAAGCTGCGCCATTTAAAAATGCCAGCTTTCTGGGCTGTCCTGCCAGGGCAAACTCTGACTCTTTTACGCAGGCGGTTCGTGTGGTTTGCAAGCACAGGCTGCTGAAGCTCGCTTGCTGGCAGGGACCTTGAAATGCCATAGAGTTGTGGCAGTAAAGTGGCTACAGCCAGTACCTCAGCCCTGAGGGTGGAAAGCTAAGGAATGGGCTGGATCCAGCCGCCAAAGCAACAGCTTTAGTCCTACTGAGATTGCTTGGTAAATTAAAGACTCATGTGGTCAGAAAAACAGAGAGAGATACAGTAAAGAGAGCGTCAAAGACAAAGAAAATTTTTAAATGATTTACAGCGTGTTAAAAATATATGCAGACTAAAAGTTAAAATTCTTAAAGTAAAAAACAAAAAAAAAAGGAAGAGAGTTGTTGTGTGTGGTAGTACACACCTTTAATCCCAACACTTGAAAGGCAGAGGGAGATTGAACTCTGTGACTTCAAGGTGTGGTAGCACACGCCTTTAATCCCAGTGCCTAGAAGGCAGAGACAAACAGATAGATCTCTGTGAGTTCAAGGTGTAGTAGTGTACATCTTTAATCCTGAATGCCTGGGAGGCAGAGACAGGTGGATTTCTGAGAGTTCAAAGACAGCCTGGTCTACAGAGTTACTTCAGGTCAAAGATACAGAGAACCTGTCTCAAAAAGCAAAGAGTTAAAAGTAAAAATAAATGAAATAGAGGTTAAAACAAAGGTGTACAAAGATGGAAAATAAACAGAGAATTTTGATACTGTATGCTATTGTGCTCTCTTTGAATTGTTTGAATGCTGAGGAAAGAGCAAAAGCTACTAAAAGATATTTGTTTATAAATGCTGCTGAACTAATCCAACATAGATATTTTGAATTTGGATCTAAGGATATGATACTTTGGAAAAGAGATTCTTCTTTTGTTTTCACAGAGGATCAGACCTTGTGGATTGCATTTATCCCGATATGGTATGATGGACCACGCCCTCCTGAAGGGTTGTTGTGAACATCTTCAGAAAATTGCTTCGCTCAACTGCCAACTGAGATGAAACTAGCACACAGTTTATACCGTGAAAGACCTAATTAACGACGCCCCCATTCAGCAGGAAGCAGTTTGGAGAGAAAAAACTGCGCCCATGTTCCCAAATATGGTTTATAAACGTTCTTTTACATTTAAAGGGGGATATGATATAGATATGAATAATTTGCTTTAGTATAGATTTTGCTTTATTGATAGAGATTTACGGTCAATTTTGTTATATGTATATGTATTTCTGACAATGAGACACTCTGCTCCTGGCAGCACCAATCTACTTCAAGAGGAAGATGGGCATCGAAGAGGCTCATTATGGAGTTTGATAGCCATTTGGGCAAGAAACTGCTCTTGCTTGGACTATTGCATAAACTGGACACAGAGAACCCACAGAGAGAGGACTACTGAACTTGCCTAAGGTGAGATGATCTTTCGGGGTTCCTGATTCATGAAAGAGTCTGCGAGACATTCTGCAGGACACAACAGATAGTGACTGAACTGACTTTGAATTTTCCTGCTTTATGAAAATGTCTGCTGGATACCATGGGCCTGAAGGCTGAAGATGGATGCCCCAACGGTACAGAGGAACTTTGGGTGACTGTCCAGGCAGCGAGATGTCTCTTGTCATTTCTTGAGTTTTAAAAGTTGCTTTTTTCTTGTTTGCTTAGGTAGTATTGTATCTTTCTGGACTCTTTGATGGAGTTAAGAATAGTTAGTTATAGTTATAGTTTTCCTTAGTTATGATAAAGATTATTATAACTTTTACTTGATAACTGTTTCGTTATATGTAATTTTGCTATGTTAAAGTTAAAGCCTTTTCGAACAATGAGGGCTGATGAGACACCAAGGACAATGGCAGGGGGTTTTGATCCTACTTAATGTGCTGGCTTTGTGGGAGCCTAGCCAGTTTGGATGTTCACCTTCCTAGATATGGACGGAGGGGGGGAGGACCTAGGACTTACCACAGGGCAGGGAACCCGGACTGCTCTGTGGACTGGAGAGGGAGGGGGGGGGAGAGGAGTGGGGGGAGGGGGAGAAGGGTGGGAGGAGGGGGAGAAGGGTGGGAGGAGGGGAAGGGAAATGGGAGGCTGGGAGGAGGTGGTAACTTGTTTTTTGTTTATGTTTTTTTTTCTTCTTTTCGCAATAAAAAAAAATTAAAAAAAAAAAGTTAAAGCCTTTTTTTTTTTGTTTGTTTTTTTGTTTAAACCGAAAAGGGGGAAATGATGGAGGAAGGTCATTGGTTAAATAAAAAGAAACTGCTTGGCTCTCATTAGTTAGAGATAGGTGGGAGGAGTAAACAGAACAGAACGCTGGGAGGAAGAGGAAGTGAGCTCAGACTCCACAGCTCTCCTCTCGGGAGCAGACGCCTGAGAGAGACGCCATGCCCTGCTCCCGGGCAGACACACGCCATGCCATGAAGCTCCGACCCAGGATGGACATAGGCTAGAATCTTCCCGGTAAGACCGGTGCCCACAGATTATTAGAGATGGGTTGATTGGGATATCAGAATTAGCCAGTAAGGGCTAGAGCTAAAGGGCCAAGCAGTGTTTAAATGAATACAGTTTGTGTGTTGTTATTTCGGGGCATAAGCTAGCCAGGCTGCCGGGGTGCTGGGGATGCAGCCCCGCCGCCCTTATTACTACACCATGGTCCTCTGAAAGAATAGCTAGTGCTTTCTCTCCAGTCCTCCTCCAGTCTTCGTGGTTGGGGTAACTCAGCTGTGTGTATTCCTCAGTCTTTGTGGTTGGGGTAACACAGCTGTGTGTATTCCTCAGTCTTTGTGGTTGGGGTAACACAACTGTGTGTATTCCTCAGTCTTTATGGTTGGGGTAACACAACTGTGTGTATTCCTCAGCAGCTCAAGAGACCTGCACAGCAAAGGCATGGTTTTGACTGCATAATCTAAAGCAGTGATTCTCAGCCTGTGGATTGTGACCCCTTGGTGGTTGTTGAACAATCCTTTTGCAGGGGTCACCTAAGACCATCAGAAAACACATACATTTACATTACTATTCATAATAATAGCAAAATTACAGTTATGAAATAGCAATGCAAATAATTTTATGGTCAGAGGGTCACCATAATATGAGGAACTATATTAAAGGGTCATAGCATTAGAAAGGTTGAGAACCACCGATCCAAAGAGTGAGCTTTAAGTGACCGTAAACCAGGGATACAACAAAAAACCATGTTGGTACTCCTGCCTGCCTTTGCCATCCACCTGCTTATCCTGGAGCTAATAAATCTGTTTCTGTCTGTGTTTTTGTCTTACATATTGCCATTTATCATGAACAAGGAAGATGACAGAACTTGTCTTTTGGTAACTACTTTTTTTTTCCTTCGTAGCATTGTGTTTGAATTTTACCTCTGGATTCATGTGTAGGGTCCTCACAACATTAATGGCTTAATAATAAGTCATATTTTTTTTCCTTTTCTTGTTGTAACAAACCTTGCTTCAGTGCAGACTCCAGTTGTGTCCCCTCAAATTCAGCTGTTTCCCTGTAAGGGTGTTGTTTGCACTTTTAGAGTTGTTACTAACTGCCAGTTCAGATATGGCCCCTGTTTCTCCCTAACATAGCCAAGTGTCCTCCTCATATCCTAGCTAGCTCTTGACTAAGTGTCTTTACTATTCTAATTGGTACCACATTGCTTTCAGTTGTGTTTCCTTGATTACTAGTAAAGTTGAATTTTGTTTTCTTTCTTTTGCAGTGCTGGGGACAGAACCCAGGACATCATACATGTAAGGTAGGCTATCTCCCACTGAGCGGTACTCAGCATGAATGCCTTATATATACTTGTTTGCATCTTGCTTATTTCCTATCTGAAGATTGATAGTTGTCTTTGTTATCCCTTTGTTTTTTCTGTATCATCTTGTAAAGGCTTGTGCTTGATTGCTAGAGCAGCATGCCACATCACCCCTTTGTCTCTGATTTTGTAGTGCCTGATGTTAGATCAACAGCATCCTCTTCAGAGTAAACCCAGTCATTCTTTATGTTAACCTTGTTTCAGTACTAAAGGGCTTAGGCTTGTGACTACCCTTCAAGTATTCTGGCTCCTACTTTCCCATCCTCCCAGGGAGTACCACTGCCTTTCAGCCTCTTCTTCCCTAACTCTGCCGCCTGAGGCTGTCCTTCCTATGTCTTAGTAAATGTGCCCAAAGCAGGGTACATTTATGTTGTTGGGCTAGTGGGCTTGCCCTTCTAGATCCAATTATTAACTTTCCTCTTATTGTCTCAGAACCTGCTCTCCCAGAAACACTTCTGTACCCTGCTTGGGCAGACATATTCCACCTTATTCCTGGTCACAGCTTCATCGTTCTGACCAACCTTGCCACGCTCCTATTCTCTCTCCCATAATTGCAAGTGGGGACTTGGAAAATACTTCCCAGTGACCCACTCTTCCATATCCTATAACTGCTGAGTGTTTCTCAGAGTTTCTATCACTGGGTCTGGTGTGGATACAGATGGATTCCAAGTCTGTACATTAGCCCTTTGCTCCTGGAGCACAAATACCTCTCTTTCTTAGAGAACATTTCAGCTGGCATTGTTTCTGAACAGCTTAAAAACATCCCAGAGCCTGTGAGCTAAGGCCATAACCGCCCTCAGGGACATTATCTTTAGCCAGAAGATGTGCTGAAGCCTGACAAAGCAGCTTGTAGTGGAAACTTGGGGTCAGATTTCAGGCCTTCCGTGGTCCCATAGTTTGCTGAGCATCTACCCTGTATCGTCAGTGCTTTCCCAGAGACAGACAGTATATCATCCCAGTCACAGAGCTCACTGATGAGTCTGATGCTGATACTCTTTGCCTGTGGCTGGGAAACTGAAGGGGCTACCTTGTGAAGTGTCTCTTTCTTTGTCTCAATACCTAGCCCTTGTTTCTACATTGAAATGGCTGAAGTCCGCAGGGTTGGCCACCTGGGACATCCCACTGATAAGAGCTACACTTCTTCCCAGGCTGCTGTGACAACTTGGTGGCCCCACCATGTCCAGGCCTCAGACCCGGGAGCAGGCAGTGGATTTCGAGGGAGACTCATCCCTACACAGGAGAGACGAGGAGGGGCCCCAGAGCTCCCACCGCATGCTGGGCTTCAGTGATGCTCTGCTCTCCATCATTGCCACTGTCATGGTCAGTGCTGGGCCCACCGCAAATCCACCCCTGGTTCCTGCAGCAGCCTCAGATACCCACACCTTTCATGAAGTTGGGGCTGCTCAGCAATAGTCAAGATCTCACATACCTCTGCCTGTGAGTACCTACAGCCCAAGAAGCATCTCTTCATTATTTTTGTCTTTGTTCCTTTAGATCCTGCCTGTGACCCACACAGAGATCTCACCAGAACAGGTAACAGGAGCAGACTGGTTTGTACAGTGGGCCAATAAGAAAACCCAACCTGGACTTGGGGAGCCAACCCCCCAATCTGCAGGCAGCAGAGCCCAAGGCAGGGTATTTATTGAGAGGGCAAGACACCTGTGTTTCTTCCTGGGAGGATACGTACTTAGAGTTAGGGCTTAAGCACAGGCTCCTTCCTGCAGTGGAGACTTCTTCTAACCAGGTGGACAGTTAGTTATAACATGTCTGCCCCACCAAACTAGCCTGTGGGGGTAGCAAAGAGCTTTTTAAAAAGCATTTCCATTTATAGCCAACTTTATGGGAATTTTAATTTTTTTTTCCGGAGTCAACAACATGCAGCTCTTCAGTGAACTTTGAGACTTGGATAGCACTGAGGTGTATTCCTTGGTTTCATCCTTGTGACTGGCATGGCACCATACAAGCCTCAAGAGGCAGGTTGCAGCACTACCTCACTGTCCCACAACAATGAGGTGTGATTCTAGCTATACCTGCAAGCTGAGCTAGATCTTTGGGGAGGGCCCAGAACTACTGAGGTTTTTCTTTTGAACTGTGGTTACAACACTAGTGTAGCATCAGAACGCACTTGGACTGTGCTTAACGCTGTTCTGAGAAAACACCTGCTAGTGGGTGGTCTACATAGCCAGCTCCAGGCCAGTCAGGACACACAGTGAGAACCCGTCTCCAAAAAACCTAAATAAAATTAAAAAGCATAGTGACAGATACAGCTTAGTGGTGGAGTGTTTGCCTAGCCTGCATGAATGAGGTGGTAGTTTTAATTCCTGGTACTGAAATTTTAAAATTTCATTTGTTTTTTGTTACTGTTTTTTGAGACAGGGTTTCTCTGTGTAGCCTTTGGCTGTCCTGAAACTTGCTCTGTAGACCAGGCTGGCCTCAAACTCCTAGAGATCCATCTGCTTTTGCCTCTGAGTACAGGGATTAAAGGCTGCACCACTCCCACCTGAAAATGTATTACTGCGAGAGTATAATGTGCATGGGATAGTGCTGGCACACATATCCCACAGCGTGTGTGTAGAGATCCGAAGATACTTAGCTCACTTTTCTTTTGGTTTGATAGAGTTTTGGGTTTTTTGTTGTTGTTGTTGTTGTTTTGACAAATTATCTCTGTGTAACGGTTCTGGTTGTATTGGAACTTGCTTTGCAGACCAGGCTGACCTCAAACTTACAGAGAAGATCCGTCTGCCTCTGCACCCTGAGTGCTAAAATTAAAGGTATGTGGCACTATGCCTGGCTTCTGCCCAATTTTTTAAAAAGAAGACTTAACTTATAGGCCGGGTGGCAAATTGCCTATGATCAATATCTGCTCTGGAGGTTGAGACAAAAAGGTTTCCAAGTTCAATGCCAGCGTAGGCAACTTAGACCCTGTCTCAGAATAAAAAGTAAGAGGCCAGGTGTGGGAGTGTGTACCTTTAATCCCTAGCACTTGGGAGGCGGAGACTGATGGATTTCTGTGAATTCAAGGTCAGTCTGGTCTCCATAGTGAGTTCTAGAACAGCCAGGGCTATAGAGAGAGACTCTGCCTCAAATACAAACAAAAAGCTGGGCACACCTTTAATCCTAGCACTCACAGAGGCAGGTGAATCTCTTTGAGTTGGAGACCAACTTGGTGTACAAAGAGTTTCAGGACAGCCAGGACTGTTAACACGGAGAAACCCAGTCTCAACAAACAAACAAACAAAAACAACCCAAACGTGGAAAGATACTTGAGGGTATAGCTCAGTGGTGGAACACAGGAGACAAAAACATACAAACGAATGTTTGTGAGAGCATTTGATAGGATGATTCTGAAATGAAATTTCAAGTCACGATCCAAAGCAATACTTGCACAAGAAGAACTAACGAAGCCAATAAACAAATTGATTTCTTTGAGTATGTTTAAAAATATAAAGCTTAGCCGGGTGGTGGTGGCGCACGCCTTTAATCCCAGCACTCGGGAGGCAGAGGCAGGCGGATCTCTGTGAGTTCGAGGCCAGCCTGGTCTACAAGAGCTAGTTCCAGGACAGGAACCAAAAGCTATGGAGAAACCCTGTCTCGAAAAATCAAAAAAAAAAAAATATAAAGCTTCCTTCTCATGATTTTTGAGGTAAGTGTTCTTACCTTTGAAAATTGAGGTTTCTTTTCAGTACAGTGGTCTCTGTTCAAGCCACAACCCCTTGAGTGGTATCTATGGCAGACCCATTCTGCTTGTAATCTCATTGGGGACTTTTAAAGGTGTCCTGCCCGTGACTATGCTAGATAGACCTTGCTATAGCTTAGACATTTGTGTCTCCAGAATCCACATGTTGGAACTTAAACCCCAAAGTGAACACTTTAGAAGGCAATTAATTACCTTCTGAGAGGACTGGATGCCGTTTGTCCCTTGTGTCCCTTACTGTTGAGGTGCTTGGACTCTCTCTGACAACAAGCCTGCTGACAGCCAGGATTCTTTTCCACTTGAGGTGATGGTATCAGACTGTGATACCCAGGAATCTATTGCCTTAGAACTGCCTGTAAAAGACACTTTTGAGGGTGGATGTGGGATAAGTGTGGCAGATGTGAGATTAGACTGGGAGCAGACATAGACTGTGTGCACTATGAGGCTGGGGACCTTCCTAACTGTCATACTCTGCATTAATGGAAGTCTTGTTGAAATGACCACTGTTGGGTCACATATGTTACTTTGTTCTAATAACAGTATTCTTTTTCATACAGCAATTTGACAAAAGTATACAGAAACTTCTAGCAACTAGGATTGCTGTCTACCTGATGACATTTCTAATTGTAACTGTGGCGTGGGCAGCACATACCAGGTAGGGAGTCAGACCTTTATACAAGGTCCTCATTGTCATGAGTTACTCAGGGTAGGCAAAGGAGGAACAGGAAGCTTCCTTAAGCAGAGCTGGGCATGTAGGTGTTGCATTCCTGGCTGTAGATCAGCATGTTCAAAGGAAATACTCTTCAGAGAATGCTTAGTGTGCAGAAATATCCAGATCCTAGTAAAGATTTCACCGCTGTGTGTGTGTGTATGTAAGAGACAGACGGAGGAGAGAGAAAGAAACTATGTAGTAGACCAGCCTGCCTCTGCCTCCTAAATGCTGGGATTAAAGGCATGCATCCAGCTCACTGCTCTTTAAAAGTACATTGAAAAGTACAGAAAAATGCTTCATGTTATATACTTGTCCTTGGCAAGATGATGCTGATAGATGCCTTCCTATTGGAAGAATTGGGCAGGCTTTATCTTTTTCATCTCCCTTGTTTATAGAATGTCCAGGAGGCTCACAGCCTGGTGGGTGACTTTAGCCAACCTTCCCTATACCTACATCATGATTCATTCATTAGGGGCCACACCCACTGTGAAAAACATCAACAGCAGGGTTCTGAGGCCCAGGGAGCCTGTGAGGAACTTCATGGCTCTAGTCTGCATCCTGCTTTGGGTACTCACTTACACGCATGGTCTTAGTACCAGCAAGTAGGCAGCAGAATGGCCATCTCTGGGATTGCAGCCCCTTCTATTTGGCTTATTAAGACTTCAGCCCAAATGAGCCTGTGCCACTGACGTGAGCCAGGGGTAGCTCCTGGAGTGAGAGTGCCAGTTCAGCTGAGTCCAGTCCAAGGGAAGGACATGCTCAAAGTTGGAAGGGTGGCATCTTTAGCCACAGTCAAAGACTATTGGGAGCAACCCTATTGTAGGGCCCAGGCATTGGGGGAAGCTTCATGATTCCTGGCAGTCTGTGCTCATGTTTCCATGAAGGATGGTGCTCCATTTTGTTTTCTATTTACGTTGTAGTATCTCCATATAAAACCATTTCTCTGTTAAATACCAACTTCCAGCAGGTGCAGTTTATGAAATCTTTGAGGGGAAAATGAGAAAGAAATATTTCCTTTCTTCAAAATGGATTTTAGACATAATGAATAAAAACACAAGTGTACTGCACAATAGAGCTCTAGCTTCACATCCCCAGAGACAGGCAGCTGACAGCCGCCCTGCTAGTCCTGCCCTTAGCAGGGCCTCTCCGGAGAGTTAAAAGTCCCCTACGTTTGTGCAGAAGTCGTCTTCAAGGCTTTCTCTGAAAAGACTGTTCCTAAGAGCTACAAACTGTACAGGTGATTTATATAAGCTATTCCTGCAAAATAATGGGAAGAATGTATGGGAAAGATACATGCTTCCCTGCATAAGCTATGTTTTCTTTGAATTTTCTGACTTTCACACACTAGGTAGTATTTACATTTTTTAAAAGTTAAATTTTAGCCCGGTGGTGGTGGCGCATGCCTTTAATCTCAGCACTCGGGAGGCAGAAGCAAGCAGATCTCTGTGAGTTCCAGGCCAGCCTGGACTACAAGAGCTAGTTCCAGGACAGGCTCCAAAGCCACAAAGACACCCTGTCTTGAAAAACCAAAAAAAAAAAAAAAAAGAAAGTTAAATTTTATTTTATGTGTGTGCCAAAATCAGAGGATAGCTTGTAGGATTTGGTTCTCTCCTCCTGCCACGTGGGTCCAGGGATCAAACTCAGGTTCTCAGGATTAATAGCAACCTAAATAGCCACCTAGTTTTCTCATCAGTCCCACTAGGTAGTATCTTAAATTTGATCAAAAGTGACATCTTTAGTGATGCTTTAGCTAGAAAATACTGTGGGAGGTGCATTTTAATTTTAATATTATCGGAGCCATATTTGAATGATGGCCCATCTTCTCTTTTTCCTAACTTTAGATTGTTCCAGTTTGTTGGGAAAATAGATGATACACTTGCCTTGCTTAACCTGGTGAGTTATTGTTGTTTTGAAAAATGAGTTTAAGGTATGATTTAGCCCTCTTGAAAGATAGGAAAGGTATGGGTCCCCACAACCTGGATCATGTCCATTCCTGGAAGTTCCTCAGATAGCCCGTGGGGTCAGTCTGTCCAGGACAGGGGCACAGGCTTTTTGGGTCTAGTGCCACAATTCCTGTAGATATATTGCTGCCTTCCTGGAGTGTCCCTTACTCTCTAGGCTTTCTGGTGACTGTGACCTCCCCTCCTTTCCTTTCACTACAGGCCTGCATGATGACCATCACCCTTCTACCCTACACAGTGAGTAAAAAGATCATCTCCTTGCACGCCTCACTGAGCACCTCTGTGTGTGGCAGTCCTTAGAAGTGCAGGTTCAAGCCAGGTGGTGGTAGCACATGCTTTTAACCGCAGCACTCGGGAGGCAGAGGCAGGCAGATCTCTTTGAGTTTGAGGCCAGCCTGGTCTACAAGAGCTAGTTTCGGGACAGGCTTCAAAGCTACAGAGAAACCCAGTCTCAAAAAACCAAAAAGAGAGAGAGGGGCGGGGGGGGGGGGGGTGCAGGTTCAAGTCCTGGAGTACAAATTACAAAGAGAGTTCCAGGGAACTAGTGGTTGGGGCTGAATAAAGAGGAAGGAATTTAGGACTCCTAAAGGCAGAGGCCACTGAGAATGTCCCTAATGCCCCTTCCTCCCACCTGCCTCTCTCCATAATCTCCACAAGCATTTAAAATTCTTAATATAGGCATTATAGCTATACAAAACTATAACATAGATAATTCAGACCTGAAGGATTTTACATGAGGTTAGTGATACTGGCTTTAAAGGCCTGAAATAGTGGTTTGCAGAGCTGAATATACCCATGCCCAGCCCCATACCCTCGTCCTCACACTAGGACAGTTTTCTTCTCAGTGCAACCTAGCTCTGATAGCCTTTTGGGGGTTTGTGGGGGTTCTTTTGACAGTTTTCTCTAATGGTGACGTTTCCTGATGTGCCCCTGGGCATCTTCCTGTTCTGCATGTGTGTGATTGCCATTGGATCTGTGCAGGTAGGGACATGGGATATGATGTGTGTTTGCCATGGGGTGTGCAGGTCAGGTGCTAACATCCTGATCTACATCTCAAGTAGGGGTCTTCCCCATAATTGCACCTGGGATGTGGCATACCCAGGGCCTCACAGTCTCAGAATAGGATGAAAATTTCTACCTTCTTCTTGACCCCAGCCTCTCAGAACTTCCCAGGGTAGGAGGCCATCAAGGAGGGACCCTCTTGCTCCTAACCCCTAAAAATGTGTTGGTCCAGGGGTAACTGGTACTTCTCTACCTGCTGATGGTGCCCTCTAGCCTGTTTTGTTTGTTTTGTTTTGACTACAGGCACTGATTGTGGGGTATGCGTTCCACTTCCCAAACCTGCTGAGTCCACAGATCCAGCACTCTGCACACAGGGCCCAGTCTCGACGACACATCCTGCGCCTAGTCCTCCGTGGCCCAGCTCTGTGTTTTGTTGCAGCCATCTTTTCTCTCTTCTTCTTCCCCTTGGTGAGCACTGAGAATCTCAGAGGAAGTCTTAGCACAGCTGAAAAACATCAAGGACAGTCAACAGGAGAAAGAACAGGCAATGCTGTAGAAGCTGTCTTGAACAGGGTCCACTTAAGTACTATGAAAGTACATTGAATTTTAAACCAAAGTATCCTAAGAATTGTGGAAAAAGCAAATACTAGTTATTTTTAAATGTTTGGTAATAGGCACGAGCATCCTCATGCATACAAACAAAAAATAATAATTAAATGTAGTTAAAATTAAATAAGTAAAAATTAATGAATTTTGGTAAGCATTTCAAGACCTTGGCAGGTCATCTTCTTGTGAGGGGATAAGGTTCCAGCTGAGTGGGTAGGAGCCAGGGAGCCCAGAGACTTTTAAACTACAACAGAACCATATATAGGAAGCATCTAGCCAAGCAGCCCTTGACTGGAGAGGTCACAGGTAAAGTGTCTTTTCAAGCCCATTCCCTTTAATTTCATGGTTGGAATGCATACCTTCTGTTGTTGTGCTGTTTCCATTCTTTATGTATTCTGGATACTAAATTCTCAGAAAGTACACGACTGGTATGCAAAAGGAAGATAGCTCTTCCTTTTGGGATTAAGCCTTTATACACAGTTCGTTTCCATAAAGGACAGTTCTCTGGATTTTCCTTTGTTGCTCCTGCTGTCCCTCCATCTGTGGCAGAAGAATGGGACCAGACTTCAGGTGTGAGCAGTTGAGATTCTCAGGGAAACACCCTGACCTGTTTTCTTTCTTTCTGTAGTCATATGTGCTGATGGTGGCTGTCATCTTCCTCCCTCATATCAGCAAGGCTACCACCTGGTGCAAAGACAAGCTCACGGGTAGGTGACTGCACACAGTAAGCATGTTGGAAAGTTCTCTGATTGGGAGAACTTTCTGATTGGGAATAAGGCATCAGTATGTGATGGCCCTTCTGGGCTGAGCCTTGGTCTGGTGGCGGGTTTGCTGGGCCCTGGCTGCTTCTTGCCCCTTAAAATCTCTGCATCATTTCACCTCCTGACCTGTTTATTCCTGTCCCCTTGGAGAAGAGGGAAGTGATAGCCACACTGGTCTGACAGTCCCCCACCTAGGCTGTTTCCTTCCCTTGGCATGTCACAGGCCACAGGGAGTCTCCAGCTCACAATGTGGGGCCCTTCAGTATTGATCTGCACGCACCTCTCAGCAAAGAGCGGGTGGAAGCTTTCAGTGACGGTGTCTATGCCATCGTGGCCACACTCCTCATCCTGGACATCTGGTGAGGACCCCAACTCTGCTACTTTGGCCCATCTTCCAGGTGGTAGTATGTCTTTCAGTGTCTTGTGAGTACCTGCAGATTTATGTAGGCATCCTCTTCCCCTTCGACCTGAAAGCACAGGTGCTAGGGTGAGTGTCCTTGTGCTCTCTGTCCCAGGAGTATTCAGGCAGTTCCCTCAGACCTTCTCCTCTTCCATACCTCTATGGCTTCTGTCTGACCTGGCTCTGATACAGTACTGTTGGAGCTCTAGTTTGGGTGTTCACTTTTATTCCCAAGTGTCTCTCCCATCCCACCCCCTTTTTTTTATGCCCCTTGACCTCATCTAGTCTATGGTTCCTCAGTCATATTCCATTGCATTCTTATTTTATTAAACATGTTACAATTCTGGTTTTAGATTCTGCATCTGACACTATGATTCTCCTGATACTTCTGAGTAGGTTTTCCTATTATAATTTGCGAATTCTTATTAGCTAGAAGTAAATATTCATTAGTACCTGATATCCTCAGGTCTTAGATTTAAAGAATCTTCCAGAACAATCTCCTTTTGCTTCCATTGCCAGGGCTGAAGGACTCACAGCTAAGAAGCCATGTTAGGGCAGGAAATTGTAGCCAATAGAAGGCTGCCATCTCCTGCCTGGAGTCTTACCCCATTTGACAGCCCTCAGGCTCTTCTCTTTTGCCCTCACTCATGTCCCTCCTTCTAGCTGATTTGGAGAAAGCAGTGGGCACTTGGGCATCCTGTCGTACACGTCCAGGTGATGGGTTCCCATCGCTAGACTCTATGCTTTAATACAAGCTGCAAGGTTCAGGATAGCTGTGGAGGCTGTCTTTTATAGGCACCCTACCCTCAGAAGGCTGTCCCTGGCCAATGAACCAGAACTATCTGTCAATTCTTGGCTGTCAGATAGGGCCACCAGTTAGCAGAGAATATAGAGGACTGGTTAAATTTGCATTTTTGAGTAAAGAAGAGTGGTAACTGATTAGTATGCTAAATATATGTAAGTAGACATAGGGAACATTTGTGTACTAAAGATCACGTCATTAATCTCAAATTCACTTATGTTGCTTGTCTTATCCCGGGGGTCCGACCATCTTTGGGAGGTTATTACAAATGCCATCTGTTCATACTTCCCAGTGAGGACAACGTTCCGGATCCCAAGGATGTCCGAGAGAAATTCAGTGGCAGCCTTGTGACTGCCCTGGGTGCATATGGGCCACAATTCCTGGCGTACTTTGGCTCCTTCGCCACAGTGGGTCTGCTTTGGTTTGCCCATCATTCACTCTTCCTGCATGTCCGGAAGGCTACACAGACCATGGGGTTACTCAACATACTGTCACTGGCCTTTGTGGGCGGCCTCCCTCTGGCCTACCAGCAGACCTCAGCTTTTGCCCGACAACCCCATGATGAACTTGAGCGTGTGCGGGTCAGCTGCGCCATCATCTTCTTTGCCAGTATCTTCCAGTTTGCCATCTGGACTGCAGCCCTGCTGCATCAGACAGAAACACTGCAGCCAGCTGTGCGATTTGGTGGGCAGGAGCATGCTTTCATGTTTGCCAAGCTTGCACTGTACCCCTGTGCTAGCCTGTTGGCGTTTGCTGCCACCTGCCTGCTGAGCCGCTTCAGCACAACCATCTTCCACCTCATGCAGATTGCAGTGCCCTTTGCCTTCCTACTGCTCCGGCTCCTTGTGCGCCTTGCCCTGGCAGGCCTTCAAGTCCTGTGGGACCTCCGGCCAGAGCACCCTCAATCAGGCCAGGGTGAACCCGAGGCACAGTCTCAGCTCTTGCCTGCCCCCTGCTAATGCCAAGGAAGCTACATCTGCCCATTCCAGGCGTACCGTAAGGGGTTCTATGAAGATGGCTCAGTAGAAGTCTGTGACCTTGGGGCTGTGGTTTTATTGGCTTGAGTATTGTGTACATTGTGAAATATCAAGATCTATTTCAAGATTATGAACATTGTTCACATTTTGCAGTAAGGGGTTTCATGGGAACTAATTTTATTGCTTTTACCCATTTACTTTCCTCCCTTTCCCAACACTGCCACGGGAAGTTACCTTCTGACTAACCTGAATAAGCTCTTGAGGCTGTCACTGAGGTCATGTTTGAGGCAGTGGCACCCAGCCAAGATCAGAGGTCCATCCCTTTTACTTGCTATGTCCTGCATGTGGCCACACAAGCCATCCTTATGCTCAGAACCTTCAGGCAGTTGAGTCTGGGCTAAGTCAGGCTGTGAAGTTGCTGTCTGGCTTACGTCCTCACAAGTGCAGAGCTTCCCTGGTGGGACTGACAGTTTCTCTGCCCATTCCCATACCAGTTGTTAGACAAAGACAAGAGGCAACTACAGGACAGCAAAGCCCACAATGTATTTGGCCCAGATATAAGTTAGATCACATTCAGGTAGTGATAAATTACACACAGAGACAGAACACACTCCACAAAGTGACAGTCTCACCTAATACAGAGGACATGCTACACTGATCTTAATTTACAAACAATTCCTATAGATTGAAATAAAAGTGAAAAACTACATCACAATTTCTTTCGAACGTGGAAAATGATGTAAACATGAGGAACATCTATACTGAGAACACAAATGGCTATCTGATGCACTTGTATGCACTTTTGGCAAAAGCAGATGAGGGTATGGCACAGTGGGCCTATGAAGCTGCCAGCCAGGAATATCCCCTGGTCCATACCATAGCCACTTCTGAGAGTGGCACAAGCCCAGGATCTAGACCTATTTACTTGTCTATGGGGGTAAGCATCACAGGCTACTTCCCACGTAGGTCCTTCCCCATCTAGGGCTGGGGCTGGCCCACTGACATCTTTTAGGCCCCTGTTTCCCCCATCTTTTCACTTTTTGGGAGGGGTTTTAATTCTACAGCCCAGTCAGTTCTTGAGCATGCTATTCTCTTGCTTTAGTCCCCAAGAAATGAATTACAGACATATACCACCAGGCTTAGCTAGACAGCTCATTCTGGGGTACACTCCTCTGGGGTCTGAGGTGTGACAATTGAATTCTTGGGTGCATGGAAGAGACAGCTTTGTCTCATTCTGTGAGCCTGATGCCCCCAGCAAGGTCTGGCCATCAGAGCTACTTTGGTTTGTAGGAGCCAGAGTAGCAGCTCTGCATCTACAAGGAAGGGCTGCAGGCTGGCAAACAGCATGTATATAAAGTGCTATACGTTGAGTCTAAGGGAGCTTTAGCCACTCCACAACAACAGATGTTATTTACACATTCCTCAACCAGGTTCCACCTGGCTCTGTTCTGATCCCTTCTTGGCACTAGGTGCCCACTTGAGGGCCGAGGAAAGACACTCAGGCCCTGGCACACACTCCAGCTCTGACACATGGGTGACACCTGAACTTGACTAGCCTCCCCTTCCTAGGTATAGCTTTTCAGCTCAGGGCCACCAGCTGGATGAGCCAAGAGGACTTGAGGATACCACACCCACCCAGTGGGTGCAAGAGGAACAAGCAGCATTCTGTATCTACTAGGCCAGGGCCTAGACAGGGCTACTAGCTGCTTTGAAAGAACACAAAATAAGATCAGAGGACCCACCTGGATGACCCGCATCCAGAGGTGTTGGGCTCAACAGGCTCTAAGAGAGGTTTTATATAAGGACCAGTCGTGTACAGAAGACAGACTAGCCAGAGCTTCATGCCCATGCCATATAGACCAGTACTGTGGCAGTGGCCAATACCTACCCACTCCTAGGTTTGCACATGACATTGGATAAGGATGAGGTATGGTAACATCCCAAGACCCATGAAGATGTTATGGTCAGTGGCATAGCTAAGTCCATCTGTTGGCCAGCCAATGTGTGACTTGGAACAGAACCAAAGACGAGAAAGGCTGGGTAGTTGAGACCCTTCATCTTGGCTCCTCTATTAAGGATTGCTCTCAGGAGCAGGCAAGGTGTCCACTCGGGTTTCTCTGATGTTGCCAGCCTTCCTGGGCTTCTGCTTGGCCTTCCTCAGCATGTGGACCTGTTCCAAGGCAGGGATGGAGGGTCAGAGGACCAGAGTAACATTACAAGTGATAGCTCTGGGACCTCTGGGCCAGTGAATACTTCTTGGCTCCATTCCACAAAAGAGGGGCAATGACTTCAAAGAGCTGGCTGCTTTCTCCAGGGTCTTATGACACCTGGAGTCTGGGAAGGCCAAAGCTTAGACCCACCTGGCCTTAGCTACTGTACCGCATCAGCCTACAGTGGCCCTAACCCTGACCCATCTTACCTCTGCTCTCAGCCTAGCCAACATACCTTAGGGGCAGTAGCGGAGATGATCATGTGCCCTGGGGCCTGAACCCAGGGCTCACCATCCACTTGTACTGGAGTAGCCTTTAGGAGTGTAACACGGAAGTAGGAGCCCTGGGCAATGCGGATTCCAGAGCGCAGCCCACCCTGGACTTGGCCCTGGGCAAGACAAAAGCTGAGCTAGCTAGTGGGACCCAAGGGGTACCCCAGGGTCTGCCTACCAGCCTGCCAGTGAGTGCTCACCATGTGCACGACACCTGTCACACCCACCACCTCCAACAGCCCGTCGTCTATGCGTGGCTTCTCAAACCTTGAGTCGTTGTCAGAGCCCCAGAGGTCAGCCCCTGAGCCCCAGCTGCCCCCAAAAGATGAAAATACAAAGTTAAGCATGGACTAGACACAGACCTAGCGCCTGGCCCAAACTGCAGTCTCTGAGAGCCCAGCCCCAGCACCTGGGGATGTTGATAAAGATGAGACCCTCAATGCTGGGTAGCTCCACCTCCTGCTGTTCCACCTGCAGCCTGATCTCCTTGTGTAGACTTCGAGAGTGGCTGATCTTCTGCAGCCCGACCCGCACATATACACCCTTGTTGTGGAACCTGCCATGGGAGGCAAACATCCTGCATTACCAGGTAAAAGTTGCTGGCTGCTGTGAGTGACCTGGTCCCCCAGTCCTGCCCTACTAGTACCTGCTTGTGAATTTGCCAGGCTCCTCCTCACGTGCCTGGTGGAAATCTAGGCTGAGCTCCGCATCGATACCAATGCCACAGTAGTTACTCATCTGAACAATCTGGAGACAGGGCATAATAACCAGGATGCTGGCCAGCCACTCCCAAGTGTCCCAAATTGTGACAGCCATCCCTAACTGTTGTCACCAATGCCCTTTCCTAATAACCTCTGCTTAAATGCCACAACATCCCCAGAGAAGGCAAAACCCTACAACCCCACAGGCTTGAGTCAGCAAGCTCCTGCTCTGCCTCAGGAGGAAAGATGAGCATCAGCAAAGGGGGAGTCAAATGTAAGATCCTAGCAGGTGCGACACTGGTACCTTGGGTGGCTCCGTGTCTACCACACTGTTCTCTGTACTATCAGTCTCATGAGCATCCAGCAGGATTGTCCAGCGATCCATGAGCACAGCATCAGCCTCATCCACAGACACCAGCACAGAGAATGGGTCCTCACCACTATAGCCTGCCCCCCAACGGAGGACCCGGCCAAGGTCATTCCCTAGGAAACAGGAAAGGCAGCATAATCCACATACCACCATAAATCTCTAGCAAAACCCATAGTAGGGGCAGCCCTGAAATCCCATCTTTCAAGTTGATGGCTAAGCCCACCTGTACCCAGGGGCAGGATGGCCACAGATGGCTCTGGGCAGGCCAGATGGCGCCTTGTCTCCTCCAGGGCAGCGAGCACCCAGCCCACGGTGCCATCTCCACCACACACCAGTACCCGAAAACAGGGCACCTGAGAGAAAAGGTGGAACCTGTGTGGGAGACAGTGTTCTGCCACTACCTCCTGGCTGCCCAGGCCAGGACCTGGCTACTCATTCTTGTCCTGGGCAGCCCTTTCCTTTTCAGATGTCCATCTCTGGCCACACAGAGGATTTAATGAGTCCAGCAGTGCCATTTGGAGTTTCTACTAGCTAGAGACAGGTAGGGGTTGCTCTTTTCACAAGTCAGAAAACTCCAGACTCACCCAGGAAGAGGTCCCCCGTTGGTCAGCTCAAAGACCTGGTGTGGATTCAGTAGCTTCCGGAAACTGTAGAGCAGCTCTCGGCCTTTGAGGCCCCCGCTCTTTGGGTTCACAAACACGAGGAGGGGGCAGCAGTCAGGAGGCAACTTCGTGTGCTGAGAAGTGGGGGACTGAATTATGTTGCGGTCAAGGTCCCACATAGAAATTGCTTAAACAATGTGCAGCCTCAGATTCCAAGCATACTAAGCCATAGCCAGACCTTCCTGAGGCTAAGCAACTCAGAATATCTTTTCCCTTGAGAGCACCACCATGGCTGCTTGGAGCTCTAAGCATAAATGCCAGGGACATACTATGACATATGTCAAGGGACCATTCCTACCTTGCTAGCCATGAAGCCACAGGCCCATGTTGGAAATCCATAGATCCTGGAGTGAGAGGCCTGGCTCTTGCAAAGCTACCAACATAACCTTTGGAAGTCAACAGCTTCCAGATCCCATTTGCCACATGGCAGCCAAAGGACTCAATTTACAGGGGTAACCACACATCTCTTGCTGGTCATGGGGACAAAATTATTTTCCCCATACATAATACCAAGAGATAGTCCCTAGACACAGTAGGCTGGTTCAGGTCCCTACACTGGTGTTGGATAACAGGAGACATACAAGCCAAGTACAGACACAGGATGGACAAGGACATACTGAGATGGGTGCCTGCACTCGACTCTTGCTCACTTGCTGCAGGGCAGGCAGCTGAGAGGAAACAAACTGAGTTAGGACAGTGCCTGGGTAAACATACAGGGAACCCTATATCCTTGGGCACTGATGACAGCTACGTTCAGGGCAGAACCAGTAGGCAGGGGCAGGAGGGACTGGTAGGCACTGCCTGAGCTCATACCACTTGAATTCTGTTCCTCTTAAACTTGAGTCTGAAGTAAGGATCAGAATTCAGGATACAAGCAGGACATGGACACCTGCAGGTACTTTGTGGGGCACAGGCATAAATCCTTCGGGCACTCCTCATAGGCAATTCCTCTGCCCTCTGTTGCCCTCTGAGTTTATCTCTTCCCAGCCATTGACAGGTCATAAGAGTGGTATCTGAAGACGGGAAGCTCCACCTATTGGCCAGAAAAACCCTAGGCACAGGGCCACCTGGGTTGGGGCCAGCATCAGACTCTAAAGGACGGGGCTTGGCAGGATGTAGGCACATGGTCACAACACAACCTGGCCTTCAGTGGGGGTGGAGCTGTGTCCTGATTATATGTATAGTGTTCTGCCTGCATGTATGCTTGCACACCAGAACAGAGTGCCAGATCTCATGTGGCTGCTGGGAATTGAACTCAGGACCTCTGGAAGAGCACCCAGTGCTCTTAACCTCTGAGCCATTTCTCCAGTCTACCAGCTTTGGTCCTAAGCATTATCTCACTTGAGTCAGAAACCATGGACGAGCACTGACTCTCTGACCTCTGATCCTCCAATGTAAATTGTCCAACCTTGTCCCTTTTTGGCTGTTATAAGGTAAGCCAAAGCGGCACATAGCAGCCACCTGGCAATGAGGACATGGTCTTGGGTATCAGAGTCCTAAGCACTTACCAGCACGTCTGGAAGCACTAGTGCAGTCAGGGGCCGGCCATGCACTGCTGTGTCTCTGGCCAGCATGTATAGCCGCTCAGCCTCCGCGAAGCAGGTGACATCCAGAATTACCGCACCTGCCACAGGTGGGCCAATGCTCAGGGTGGGTGTCCCATGCATCCCATCCACAAGGCACTCAGTGAGGAGTCCTGTGTATCCTGCCCCAGGTGCCCAGGGAAGGGTGTATTGTGCATCTTCCCCAAATGGTACTCAGGGCAGGGTCTGTCTTATGAAATCCACCCCCGAGATGTCACACCCACAAAATCTCTCCTGTGTACCATGCCAACCAGGCACGTAGGCAGAGCCTCAGCTACCAGTCTCAGCCTAAGCTCTGACCACAGCCGGCTCATGTCAGCTGACTAGGTCGCATCCACAGCAAGGGGCCACTCTTCCAGCAAAGTACTTCCACAGAGGGCAGACTGAATTTAGAATCCAGCAGTGGATAAAGTGGTTCATCTCCCTGACCAACCATCCTCATACCCAAATCTAGTACCATGAGCACTGCGTGGTCTCTGAGTGCCCTGGGGTCACCCACCAAGAAGGATGGCAGTGCATTTGAAACCTTCCTTTCCCAGTGAAATATGACAGCCCGTAAAGGTGACAGATTTGGGGAAACAGCTAATCTCAGCCACATTGTAACAAAAGCAACAGATGTAAACCAGAAAAAAAAAAAAAAAAACGAACCCAAGGGATGATTTTAGACATGTGCATCTAAAGAAGGGAGTAAAGTTCGGGCTCTTCTACCCCACTCCAAGAACATTCACCAGACATCAGCTCACCTTGTAAGGAGTAGACGTGACTCACAGACACCACAGCAGCTGCATAGACAGTTTGCAGTCAGAGTGGCATATTGAGACCTGGACCTGACCTCCCAATCTAGGGCCAGCCTCCCTTCCAAGGACATCTATATACAGCCCACCCAAGCAGCCTTGACCCATCCTTTGGGGTCAGCCCCCTGGGAATTACCCAGACCCTATTCCCAAAGTTCTCGACTCCTGAATGTACAGGGACTCCCCCTCCCCCCCAATAAGAAGCATAGTCTAAATAAGAAACAAGAGGGGGAAACAAGAAGCCTCTCCATAAGAACCATATTGACTGGCCTGGGGTGGGAACTGAGCAAGGGCTTCAGATGGTGCATGAGGAGGCAAAAGAACTTGGGTTTAGCACCATAGCCCCACTGCCCAGTCAGGACCCTCTCCCAGCCAGAGCCCTGAATAGCCCAAGGTCACACCTTTGGTGGCCATGGCCTCATGCAGCAGGTTGCTGTAATCCTGGGGGGACAAGCCAGGTGGCAGGCCACCCACGAACAGGGAGACATGTGGGGTCATGGCCCTGCTCTCGGCCACGTAGAACCGCGTCTGGCTCACCTGGCGCACAGATGTCTGTAGGAAGAACAGGAATGGGGAAGGCTGGGCAGCAGTGCCCACAATGCTTCTCCATCTCCCCATTCAGCTCTTGAGGGAACTAACTTGGATATTCTTGAGACTCAAGGCCTCTCAGCTCGAAATCGGTGCCATGTTATAGGGTGTACTGCCAGCCAGGGATATCAGCTGGCTGGGGAGAATATGGTGTCTGAGAAAAAATGCCCCTCTGCAAGCGGCAGGTGGGGGACAGCCTCAGTGGCATTCTTCTGGAGGCCATGGCTAAGGGCTGGAGGTCCCCTGGAAGTACTGTCTATACCCACTGACCTGTCGGATGTCCCAGAGTCGGTCTAGCAGAGGTTCCTCATCCATCAGCACTGTCCTCTGGACTGTAGGATAGAGGGATATGGCATGTTAGCACTGGGTTCCGCCTTTGCAGTCATCGGGACAGGTGGGGATGCAAGCAAATCTAGGTGGCCCAAGCCTGTTACATAAAAGGATCTGAAAAATGCAACTCACTTACCTTGTCTGCTGCTCATGAGCACCTCAGTCAACTGGAATTTCTCCTGATCCTCAACCTACATAGTATGGGCCAAACATCAGGCCTAGAACAGAGCTCCAGCCGCGCACCGCAGCCCCGGTCTGCGCTCTATGTACTAGGCCCCAGTTCACGAGCTTTGGGCAAGGGACTGGAGGTTGAGAACACAGACGCAGAGACAGACCGACACACAGACCTTCAAACACTGATACCAAAAGCCCATCTTTAATAGTACCATGGAGGCTTAAATACACTGCAGTCAATGGCCAACAGGTGAAAATCCCATCCTCTGATCCTCTAAGCTAGGCACAGCTTCTAGTAACTTTAATTAGAAGGTTCTAGCAGGGAAAAGCAGCTGAAAGCCAGGACTCAATTAGTCCCAACAGCTCCCACAACCACAGGACATGCAGAGGAATAGTAGCCTGGCCCATTGGGCAGGTGACCCCAAAGTTGGGTGGGAATGGTCAGTGTACATACCTGCCGTCCAAGCAGTGGGAGAACCTCCTGAACCACAGACCGTGCTGTACTCTGTGAGTTCACACGGATCGACACGTAGGCCACACCCACCCTGCAGGGGACAGGCTCAAAGTTTGGGCTTTGGATCCTCACCCTAACCCTCCCTCATCAGATCCTGTGCTTTGAGCCTTACCTGAGCCAGGCAGGGTAGATCTTCAGGATCTCCTGGGCACGAGGCAGAGACCTGATGACCCAGGCCTCAGGCATGGAATCTCGGGGCCCAGGGCCTTTGCTAGCCTCTTCCTCAGTGGTCCCAGCCTTCCCCAGGGCCTGGGCATTGCTGGAGAGTGTGGTTAGGGGCAGTGCCTGCAGCTGAAAGTCCCTAGGGTCCTCGTTGATATAGAAAGCCCGAAGTGCTGCCTCCTGTAGAGGGCAGAGCCAAGTGTGTGGGGCCAGGTGAACAGTGGACCAGGTTAAGGAACCAGGTAAAGGAGACAGGTATGGAGAAGCCAACTGAGAAGGGTGCCAGGTAAGCAGGGGGCTCCAGGCATGGCAGTGTGTACCATACTTCTGTGCGAAGGCCCACTCTTACCATCACCTCCTCATTCTGAGCCAGGCGGGAAACTGTAACCAGGCGAAACTGATTTCTCCTCACGGAGTCGTTGCCATCAAAGATCTTGAGGGTCTGTTTGGCTAGGCCAGAGGGGAGCAGCTGAGAATCTTGGGGGCCTGGAACTAGGCAGGAGTGACAGCTAAGTGGGATACTTACTGGATTCTGTAGCTGTCGGCATCTCTCTGCCCACACCCGTGGCAGCACTTCCATCCAGGCCATCATCCCCATCACCTGAAGGACGGACAAAACCCTGTACTCAGTACCTGGCCCAGCCAGGGTACATCCCGGTCCCACTTCTCTGTCTCACCAAGCTCCAGGGTCATGGCCTCGGGGATACGGAAGCAGTGCATCTTGCTGAAGTTTCGGGACAACAGGCGCACACACGAGGGAGGCAGTACCATGGAGCGTAGACGCCCAAACGTACACTCGGGAGTGAGTGCTGCGGAGCACACTGAGTGGGCCTGGCAGGACAAAGGTATAAGTCTGGCATCCTGGGCAGAAAGTGGGCCAATTCCACATCCACCCGGCTACACACCCATCTAGACAGTGCACAAAACCAGAGGGGCTACTCCATAACTCAGAGAACAGTAAGATGTAGACAACTTAAAGAAAGGAGCTTTCCCCCTCCCTCCTCATACACCCTGTCACGAAGCCCACCCCTATCAGGGCCCCATCCATCCCATTCCCATGCCCACCTGCACACCACACCACTCGCAGCGTACACCAGCCAGCACATCTGAGGAACCACACGTCTTCCTACAGACCTCACACCGTGCGCCAGAAGGCAGGTTCCCCTCCCGCCAGTGGTGGTGATATGTGTCCTGGGGACGGGGGAGGCAGTCAGAAGCTCAGCCAGCCGAACCCCTACCAAACCTACCCCAGTACTTGTACACTCACATAATCCTGCTGTCCATCCTGGTGGCACTGACGACAGTCGCTGCAGGCGAAGGGCACACAGTCGGGGTGAACGTGCAGCTCACACACTGGGGGGCGGGCAAGGTTAGGGGCCTCTTGCCATACCCTTGCCATCCTCACTGACCTCATGGCTTGGGCCGGCTCCAACCCCAACCCTTGCCATCCTGAATCAGCTTCTTTTAGACTGATTGCTTCTTGCCTGGTAGGCTCCTACTGTTGGAGCCCCCCAAATTAACCTGATCCTACTCCCCATGCACTTAACAAACCACATATAGAGGAGGGCTGAGCTACCCAGGGCAGCAAAGACCAAGCCCCTTGAGCAGTGAGCTCAGTTCGAAGAGGACCACAGGCCCAATGGTACCTTCACAGCGGAGCGCAGGAACCTCCAGGCTCTTGCGGCAGACCACACAGAACTTGCGCTTGTAGAGCCCAAGGGAGCCAAAGCAGTGGGCTACAGGGACCTATAGGGGCAGAGCAATCCTCAGATTTGGGCCTGCTGGTCCTGCTGCCTTATCTCTGGTAGCCTTGTGAACTGGCCCAGCATCACCTTCTGGTAATTGCTTGAACAGAGGGGATCATCTCTCTTCCTTCTTCACCTTCACAGATCTATAGCTCAGGTCCTGGTTGGGAGTACCTACCTCACTCAGCTGTACTACTGTGAGATCTGGACTGGGACTAGCCTGGCTGACTGTTGGACAGGTGAGCAGAGAAAGAACTCAGTAACTTAACATCTGTAGTACTGTAAGCACATGTAATAGAAGTCCACCTGGCATCCATTCCTCACTCCACAGGCCAGCAAGACTGTCAACTCCCAGACACCTGTCTTGGTAGGTTCAGGAGCTTCCAACAAACCCCAGATCTGCCCTTTGGGAGGCAGTTACAGTGACTGTAAACACGTGATAGTAAATCGCTTTCCCATGAACACAGATTGGAAGGGTCAGGTCTTAACTTGACTGGTCCTTAGCCCAAGACTTAAAGACTTAGCAGAACAGAAAAACTACACAGTAGAAGGATAGTATGTGTGTCCGGGACGGAAGATGATTTTTATTTTCTTTTTAAATAGCTACATACTCTGAAAATATTTACAATCTTACTAATTTTTATTTTAATTCTCAAGTAAAATTAAGAATACATTGAGATCATTTAAGTAGCTATGGCCTCAACATGTTCACGAGGGCACCACTCTGGCAAGCACAGCACCCTGAGAGGACAGCAGCCAGCATCTCTGCATTTTTGTGCTCACACCTAGTAATTAAGTATCCACTAAGTAGCAATGTTAAGGGAAAGCTGACAGTGTTACAGACACTGTCAGCTTCAACTTCTGCTTACTGCAGTGCCTTACCGCACCCCTTAGTTTCTTGTGTCCTCTCTCCCACATGCTAGTGCAGACAAGGGCAAGCTCGGGGCAGCAGAGGTGCCAGTGAAGTGGCCTTGTGCATGCAGCTGATGGGCAGTGAGGCCGTCATGGTCGCCTGCTTGAATGATGTCTAGCTATGCTGCTGTCACTACTACCATTACTCACAGAAAGGAAGTCTGTGCCCTGTTGGGAGCCTTACTGCCCTCTCCAGGGCTCTGCAGAGGAAGGTCAACAGCCAGAACAAACTCCAAGGCTCTGAGGCTTTTTACATAAAAATGTTACACCCTCGAAGGGTTTAAGTGTATTTGTGAAAAAATATCCATGGGGCTGGAGAGATGGCTCAGCGGTTAAGAGCATTGCTTGTTCTTCCAAAGGTCCTGAGTTCAATTCCCGGCAACCACATGGTGGCTCACAACCATCTGTAATGAGGTCTGGTGCCCTCTTCTGGCCTGCAGGCATACATGTAGAAAGAATATTGTATACATAATAAATAAATAAATATTAAAAAAAAATATCCAGAGATCCCCTGTTGTCTTTGCCCATTTTCCAATGTTAACATCTTGCAAAACTGGTCATTGTCACAGCCAGAGCACCAAGAGTGCATGCAGCCTAAGCAAAGTACCCAGCCTCCTGGACCCTTCATTTGGTCCTTTTGCAGCCACATCCACTTCCTCACCTTGAACCTCTGATCTGTGTTCCTCTGGCTTCCTCATTCGGAGTGTTCCATAGACAAGTATGTGCCCTTTGACACTGACTTTCCTCAGTTCTCTAGAGATCCACTCAGGGTGCTCAGCTCATCGATGGCTCCTTCCTTCTGACTGTGAGCAGGACTCTGCCCTTTGCTTCCTAACTGTGATGTGGCTAAACTTACAATCAAAGGACAGCTACAGGTCGGCACTTAACCCAACGAAAGCCATGTGCGCTGCCCCCACACTCACCCGGACTAGACTTGGAGCAATGCTTGTGCACGGGGTCTTCACCTGCTTCAGGCACTTCTCGTGGGACATGAAGTTGCATACTGCAGGGAGGAGAACTGTGTGAGTCAGGCCACCTTGCTACGCAGCCCCACGGGTGCTCAGGAAGTGCGAGGTCCCAAGACGCAGCCTTTGTCAGCATACCAGTCAGCATGGTACCCTAGCCCTGTGCCACTTAGTGTCAGGGACATTATTCCTGTGACCTTTGTCATTATGTAACAGGCAGTAATACCATCCTCAAGAGCACAAGGGCCAGATGCTACAGTGGGACCACGGTGGGAGATGAGTGTGCCCTGCTGTCTTGGGAGTGGCCCATGCCCCTCACACTAACTCGGAACTCCCATGTCTCTGAGGCCAATAGAAGAGCAGAGAGATGAGTTTCCAAAGGAAGAGTGCACATGAAGAGCTGTGGGAGGGGCACAGGGCTTACAAAACACACGGGGGCAGAGGGGGGCTTGTTTCCAGGCCTCAGCACAGATAGAGCTTCAGCGGTGAAACAAACGTGGAGATAGACAAGAGCGATATAAGCCTGTTTAACATTATCAAAGCCAGGTCAGGACAAGAGAGTGAGGGTCTGGCCCTCCGCAGATGGGAGGAGGTTGTAGGAACAAAAGGGCTTGACCACTAAGACAGCCTAAGGAGCCAGAACCTATCCAGAGGTCCCCAGCCTATCCTTCCCTTCTGCTGAGACCCCAGATATCTCCCTCCTAGGAAGGGACAAACACTGGAAGGAGACTAGGGCTTGTGAGAAAGCAGTGACCCAGCAGGAGTCTTTCCCAGGCACTCCATTTACTCTTGGAAGGTCTTGCCAGTTGGCTCCTTCATAGGCCGAGGCAGTGCCTGCTGTGTGCAGAACACCTTACATGCTCCTCAGGTCGAAGGGCTCTGCCCACGCGGCTGTGAGGACATCTGCTGGAGCCCCAGCCCATTTCCCCACAATGCTGCCTAGAAGGGGCTCTGCACCCTTGCCTGAGGACCAAACTCTAGGGCCATTATACCCCAGGATTTTGCTTGGGTTTCCTGACTCCATAGATCTAGTCTCAGGGGTCATGTCTATAAGGGGTCCCTGGAGTCCACCCTTAGACTTCAAGTCCTACTCTCATTATCTGTCCGTTCTACAGAGACCCTAGGTCTAGACTCTGACCTGCAGGCCTACTTCCACTAACCACATTAGACTTAGACTGGAAGCTTTGCTTTCTGTGGCTTTCAGCCATAAAGTGAGTCAGGGAACAACCCTTCTACCTGAAACCCTGCCTCTGCTACTCTTGTAGGTCCTGGAGTATAGCTTCAAACCTGCAGCTAAGTCAGTGTACGAATCACAGCCTTCATCTTAGAGGGACTCTTATGTTACAAACGGGCAAAGTAGGACAGTATAATATATCTGATCTGACAGAAAAACCAGGTGACAACTCCTATCACTGGTAGCCCTGAGGTGCCATGACAACTAGACATCCCCACTAGCAGAAGACACTCCTGTGTGAGGAGCTATGGCCTCAGTGATCTCCCTGAGCAGGACAGATGCTCCTTAACTGGCTCCACCTTCAGTCCCTGGTCAAGACACTCTGTCAAAGGCTCAGATGCCTCTCTCAGTCTTGGGCTGTGGGTCTCAGGGCTTGCCTCCTCACAGGAGGAAGAACACGAAGAGGGCCAGCCACAGAATTACAGAGGTGCCATCCTCTGCCCTGCCCAGCCGGCTTGGCAGCTGGGTGGGAACTGTGTTTGGACATGCCACATCTGTAAAAAAAAAAAAAAAAAAAGTCTGGGCCTGGCTCTCCAAGCAGTTGAGCCGGAGCAAAGCAGCACTTAGTCCCTCTGTGCACCAGCCTGCACTTGGGACAAGAATGACCAGGCCTATGGTTCAGGCCAGCCCTGCTTGTCCACTCCTAGTGTACCAGTTGCTTAGAAAGCCAGACACGAACACCAGAGGGACCCCCATTGATTAAGGTCTCAGACCTGCCTTCTCTATGCCCAGGCCCAGCAACTGACTCAACACACACCTTGCCTCTTGCAGCCACGTTGGATTCCAGCCACAGCATTGCACTATGGCGACTCTGTCTCCACCTTCCACTAGGAAATCCTGAGATCCCAGACCAAGAGGGGTCAGACCCGGGACACCCCTCCTTCCTACCCCTAAAAGCAGGCGTCACCTCCAAAGGGACGTCCTATTCAAACAAGAGACTGTCTCTAAGGTCACTGCCAAGAGGGACAGGGCTCAAAGGTTAGGGCAGTGTCTCCGGGAGGAGGCTGGGAGCGGCCTCAGCAAGCAGAGTGGACTCTCACCATCGCACAGGAAACCGGCTAGCCCCCAGATGAAGTCCGAGCAGAGATGGCAAAAGGTGGGCTTGGTGAGTGTCACCTTGCGGAAGCTGTGGCCGGGCGCTGCAGGGCCAATAGCTCTGCCGGTCCTCTCTGGCCCTGACCCCGGGCGTGCGCGGCCTGAGATGCCCAGTACAGGGCTGCCGGCAGGGCTGCCGAGACGTGGGGAACCGCTGCCGGGCCAAATCCGGGCCCCAGGCTCGGCTGCCGCCTCCATCCGCAACCCGACCACCCCAGCTCCAGCTGCGCGCTAAAGCCAGGTCGGCGGTGTAGAGGGCCCTCGGCTGTGCCCGCTCCCAGCTTCCGACTGCGCTACCTAACGCGCAGGCTCGCGTGGGAGGGGCCCGAACGGAGAGAGTGGCCAGGGCCTCCAGAGGGGCGGTGCCACCCTGCTGAAGGCGGGACCTTTGCACTAGGAGGAGGGACGAGGTGGCCCACAAGCATTCGATACGTCCTCCAGCGCCAGTTGAGCAAAAAAAAAAAAAAAAAAAAAAAAAAAAAAAAAAAAGGAATGGGCCAGATATCCCACACAGGGTCTCAGGACACTGGATATAAGGCCTTTGCTTGTACAAGCAGGAGAGACTCTATGGGAACATTCATAGCTAGCTGGAAAACTTCAGTGGGGCTTCCACAAGTTCCCTTACCCCATGGCAATGAGTTCCCAGGCCTTTGAGGACCTGCCTGCAAGGGAAGGGCATCCACAGTAACCACAGTTTTGTGCTGTCTACATAATGCCTGTGAGTTTAGACCTGCAATCGCTCTGCCCCCATCGTTAGCGGTCCTCAAGGGCCTTGCTTCTCTAGGTCCTGGTTTGGAGTTGGGGAGACCCTACTGGCATTGATGGTCCAAGGAACTCCTGGCCTCTAGCCCAGTTCCCAGAGACCACAGTGGGGACCTGCAGGATCAGTGCATTAGGGGTTAGGGGAAGGAAACTGCGATAAGAATACTATCAGCACAGGTTAAAAACGCCTGGATAGAGCCACTGCGGAAGAAAAGCCTGAAGATAAGTCAGAAACTCTTGAGATCAAAACAAGGAAGCCTGGCTTGAAGAGCTCTGCTTGCCCAAGAGAAAAATATAATCCAAGAATGGCCAAAAGGCCGAGGGAAGACCCCTGTGAAACTGGGAGAGCCTTGATCCTCCATTGCTTCAGGACTCACTCCCCACTCTGGGCAGGCCTAGATACTGGGGATGCAGCCTGTTTTCCTGAAGCTGTGTCTGGGGCAGACGGACCACAGTTGATTAAAAGGCCAGGAGCAGTCACTGGCCAATGGAGAACCTAGGACCAGGTAAGGAGAGCTCAGGAAAAGTATACAGGCAGGGGACTACTAGTGCAGACGAGTGGCTGAGCAATCAAGGAAAAGACAAGGGCCGTGGTAGCGCAGGCCTTTAACCCCAGCACTTGGAGGCAGAGGCAGGTCAGTCAGTTTGAGGTCAGCCTGGTGTTGACGGTCCTCTCATTGTTTTGCTGGTGAGTTCCATGGATCTTGTTTTTTATACTAGTGCAAATTGAATTGTGCAATAAGTGCTGGTGGCTCAGGTTCATAACCAGATTTTTACTTTTTTTTTTTTTGAGACAGGGTTTCTCTATATAGCTCTGGCTGTTCTGGAACTCACTCTGTAGACCAGGCTGACCTTGAACTCAGAGATTCCCACGCCTCTGCCGTCTGAGTGCTAGGATTAAAAGCACGTGCCACCACCACCCTGCTCAGATTTTTACTTTTATGAATAACGTTTCTTGAACATTCCATTCTTGTACCTGCACGGCCCATGCCCAGATACTCATATGTCTGGAGTTACACAAGAGGTAGCAGGGCACATTTCAGTCACGTTAAAAAATAATACTTGTTATGCCCAAACAGAGGAGACCGAGCCCCATATGTAAAAGAAAGAGCCTTTATTTTAATCAAGTTTTCAAACTCAGTCTCTCCACAAGTCAATGCATCAGAAAAAATGGAGAGTCCCGAGCTCAATTAGAATTGGGTTTTTATAGTAGTAGAGGTGGGGGTGAGGGCTCTCTGAGGTTCAGGACTCCTGATTGTCTGACATTTGTCTAGGGTGTTGTCTGGCAGGTGATTCTATAGTCTGGCAGGCGACCTACCTACAGCTCTACAGCGTTGGGAAGTTAGGCATTTCCTTTGAATGGTCTGCCCTTGGGTGGGGGTCAGGTTATCTCAGCTGGTATTGCTTCAGGGTAAACTACTGAGACTCAGGCCTCTTAATTAAATTTATCAATGGCCAGAGTCCCAGGTGATAATGGTTGGAAGTAAAGAACTTCCTTTGGGTGACCTGCCCAGACTTAGACTTATTGTGGCTGGCCCCCAACTAAACTGCCAGGCATTGTGGCACACACCTTTAATCCCAGAGGCAGAGGTGGGAGAAGGGGGGGTGAGGGGGGTGGGAATCTCTGTGAGTTCAAGGTCATCCTGGTCAAACGGCGTGGAGCTACACAGCGAGTCACTGTCTCAAAAGATAAAAATACTAAACTGGTTCTACCAGTTGTGTGGAAGACTCTCTAGGCTGCAAACTCTGCTGACTGTGGACCCTCAAATTTGTATTCTTTGGTCTCTGCTCATATTGCAGGGGTATCTCTGATGTCAGAGGACCTTTACCCATCTTATTTGCTTGCCATTTCTGGCTATGCTATGAAGCCTTCACACATCTTACTGTCTTCTGCTGGGCCTTTTGTTCTCACTGGCAGGGATCTCTGGAACTCACGTACTTGTTATCTGCATTAGTTCTCGTCCTAAATAGTCTCTGGAAGGAGCACTGCAGACCCTGAAAGGAATGCTGTATCACTGCCCTCAGGGGCTAGAAAGGTTCTGCTAGCTGGGGCACTTGATTGACACAGGACCTTACGTGGCTCTGCTTACAGATACCTTGTTTAATAAGTTACATATATATAGCGATTCATGACTTTCTTCTGTGGCCTGAAAGTGCTATCACTTGAAAGAAGCTTCTCTAAAATATCTTTTTCTGTAAGAATACCACAACCTAGGGAACAGGAGTCAGCACTCAACCCTGCACTAAGACCACTTCTGTGACTAACAGAAGCAGGAAAGTGTGGTGATGCAGATGAACAGGGAGTGGGAATCTGCATGTCAGGAGCTCAGACTGCTATGTCCTCAATGACATAAAAGCACAGTAATATTGATTTGGATAACACAAACACATTTAGGGAATTTGTAGATTCAGGATCTGTGGACATAGTCCTTGAGGCCACACCTCCCTTATAGCAGGGCAGTCCTTCATAGTCTTGAGGGCAAGAAGCCCTTCACTGTCACCAGTATGGGTGGCTCATGATGTTTCTGGCTCCATCCATGTCTGAGTGGCCACACTTCCTTTTCTCCTGAGGACCCATGGGTCATCCTGCAGGTCACTTCATGCTCCTGTTTGTAGGAGAATGTGGTTAACCACACACAAACAGAATGGTGGGAGCACCAGCCATTCAGTGACCGAGTCCTGTTAAATGACAGTTCCCACAAAAAAAGATGGCTAGGCCAGTACCATAGAACTCATCCACTTGAGCAGCCTAAAGTGAATGCTCCTCCATGAAAAAAATTATTATTACAAAATTTGGTATATATTTACTTGGTGTGGGAAGTCCTTCTGTTTATGTGTTGCTTGTATTGGTTAATGAATAAAAAACTGCCCTGGCCTGTTGATAAGGCAGAACTTAGGTAGGTGGGGAAAACTAAATGGTGTACTGGGTGGAAAGAAGCAGAGTCAGGGAGACGCCATGGATCCTCAGTCTGAGATAGACGTGTTGGAACTTTGCTGGTAGGCCAAGACCTCATGGAGATACACAGATTAATAGAAATGCGTTAAATTAAGATGTAAGAGTTAGCCACTAAGAAGTTAGAGCTAATGGGTCAAGCAGTGATTTAATTAATACAATTTCTGTGTGGTTATTTCAGTTTTGGGCGGCCGGGATAAACAAGCAACCCTTCCTGCAACATTTACTCAGAAATAGACTTGGGAGTGGCACTATTTAGAGGTGTGGCCCTGTTGGAGTAGGTGTGACTGTGTTGGAGGTTGTGTGTCACTGGGGGTGGGCTTTGAGGTTTCAGAAGCTCAAGAGAGGCCCAGTGACTCACTTGTTCTTCCTGCTGCCTGCAGACCCGAATGTAGAACTCTTAGCTACCTCTCCAGCACCATGTTTGCCTGTGTGCTGCCTTGCTTTCCACCATGACTATAATGGACTAAACCTCTGAACTGTAAGCCACCCCTGATTAAATGTTTCCTTTTGTAAGAGTTGCCGTGGAGAATCTCTGAATTCAAGGTCAGCCAGGTCTACAGAGTGAGTTCCAGAACAGCCACGGATAGAGAGAAACACACACACACACACACACACACACACACACACACCCTGTCTCACCCCCTTCAAAAAAAAAGGAGTTGCCATGGTATCTCATCACATCTATAAAACCCTAAGTCAGAGACAAAAATCACAAAAATAAAGCATTTTAAAAAAGAGATTAAAAGCACAAACATCACAAAAGCTATAACTAGAATTTTTATTCTTTACTGATGAGTAAATTGATAGTTTTTAAAAATTTAATTCAATCTTATGTGTATGACTGTTTTGTCTGCATGTATGTCTGGGCATGTATGTGCCTGGTGGCCGTAGATGCCAGAAGATCTCCCTGAAACTGGAGCTATAGAAGGTTATGAGCTGCTGTGGAGTACTGGGAATGAAACCCAGTCTTTTGTAAGAGCAGCAAGTTTTCTTAACCACGGAGCCATCTCTCCTGTCTCCATGTTGCTACTTTTAAATTGTCTCTTCTAACAAGAAGAAGATAACTTAGCCCCTCCATGGCTGAGTGAACCCCAAAAGTTCAGTTCAACAGAACTTGGTCTGCTGTCACCTCATTAGTGATAGAAGTGTCTTGTGACTGAGGGGGCTGGAGAGATGGCTTGGGGCATTTGTTGTTCTTGCAGAGGTCCCTGGTTCTAGTCCCAGCATGTACATGGCAGCTCACAAACATCCCTCACTCCAGTTCCAGGACAACCAGTGTCTTCTGATCTCCTCAGGCAGCAGGCACAGACATATAGTGTGAGCGAACACTCATACAGATAAAATAAACCTTTTTGCTTTTAAGACAGGTTCTCTCTACATATTCCTGTAGGCCAGGTGGCCCTGAACTCACAGGGTTCCACCAGCTTCTGCCTCCAGAGGGCTGGTATTAAAGGCATGCTCCACCGCATCTGGCAAAATTAATCTTTTATTTAAAAAAAAAAAACAAAAAACAGCGTGGCGGTGGTGGCGCACGCCTTTAATCCCAGCACTTGGGAGGCAGAGGCAGGTGGATCTCTGTGAGTTCGAGACCAGCCTGGTCTACAAGAGCTAGTTCCAGGACAGGCTCCAAAACCACAGAGAAACCCTGTCTCG